TCGTTCCTCTGTGAGAGGTCACACCGTCTTTTGCGAGGTGACCTATGATGTTGGTGACCATCCATGTTCACGGCTCCAAAACGGTGTCGCAGTTTAAGATTTCTGGGTGCTAATACACCTGTCATTTGCTGAAATGCTATTTTTGGTAGAAATGAAGAATATGTTTTTTGTTTATTCATTTATTTTCCCTTGTTGGTTTTAAAGGGAGTCTATCACTACTGGACATATTGTCTCTTTTTCCAAGGGCCTGAAGCAAATGGAAGGTACATAATTTCTGAATCACCAAACTTGACTGCTATTGGTTTGGATCTTTAGACCTTAACGGGCTTCCACTGAACCCACAAACAGCTAAACTTTTTGCAGAGGGGTCAACAGCAACCAATCAGAAGGGAAACCTTTCCAGCGCAAAATCAGCCGAATTCCGAAAGTGAGTACCGTTCTTGTCCCACGGGAGCGGCTGAACATCCAAGTCTGTCGGGTCAGACATGGCCATGGGTCAAAAGCTCGTACCCCCAGTGAACATCCCAATCCCCACTAAAACAGACTAAAATGGGTGGCGCACCTACCCTAAAATGGTACCATTGGTTTTGACTCACAGCCACATGGGTATCCTTGGCTGTTTTCCCTGACAAGATGTCACCTTGCCTTGCAGCAGCTTTCTTGCTCCTGTTTGGTCGTTTGGTTTGGATCTTGGTTTCAAGAGGAAACTGCTGCTATGATTTGGCGGCTTGCGGGTTGCCCCTTTTCAGGGCTCGAGCTTGGGACTCAAAGGCTCAAAAGGTGATGTACAGATTTCGTTTTTCAGAAACAGCGCCCAGTGGAATCAATTTCCAAGTCACCGGCTTTTCAAGTGGCAGGGCGAGCCCTCGGGATAGCCAGGCCCCTGTCAAGAGGCCACTCTTTTACCTTGTTCCAGTGGAAGCGCGCGAGGTGCTACCACCTCGAAAAGAACAAACCGTTTGTGCAATTTATTTATCCTTCCATTTGCTCAAGAAAGCACTTATTCCCTTGTTGGATGTAAAGGGGATTTAAGCAAATGGAGGTACTGGAAAGAATGCGGGCGAAACATGGGGATTTTGACATCTGATTCTCCCGCAACTTGTTTTAGTTCATTGGAGCTATGAGCCTTTTCGTGGCTTCCATGGTCAACCCCCGACACCGATTCTTTTTCGATTGGATGCCCGATGTATTGGTTTCCCCTTGGGAAACCAACGGATTTAAGCCTACGTGGCAACCAAAAGGCGAGAAGCAAAGCAATGCCCATGGAGCCCCCAAACTCTCGGATGTCCACTTTTGTGTTCTTAAAAGCAGGTTCTGTTTTGTTGTTTGTTTTTTCATTTCAATAGTCAGGGGCTGCTTCCCCTTGGCTGACTTTGTCCAAAGGCATCTGAACAAACTTTATTCCATAACTTGCCCGTTCAACCCCAGGCCCAGTGCTTCCAGTTGCCAGTCACTAGCAGGCCAGGTGTTCATACACAAATGGGGTTTTACCAGAAAATTGGTTTCCAAACGTCAGAAAACCGGCTGGGGGAAAAACAAAAGTGAGTTTTTTTGTTGGCAGAAATATGGGTTTCCGAACGTCGGAGAACCGGCTGTAAAGAGAATTGGGGTGGGGAGCTATGGGTAGCTATGGGTAGCAGCCGCTGGCTGGGGGAGCTATGGCTGGCGGGCGGTTCCGGGTCCAGGACATCATCGTGTCGGAGTCGGCGGGCTTGGACTTGAAGATCGCCTTCCCGGTGCTCTTGTTGGCGGTGGCACCTGGGCGCGAACCCCGAAGACCGAACACCCGATGAACCGGAAGGGGATGTCCTACAAGGGAAAGAATGAGACATGGAATGAACTGAGGGATAAGTTTTCTTGCGACAGGTGCGAAATCGGTAGGGAAGGAGACATGGAATGAACAGTTTTTGGGATTCCCTGAAAGGAAACCACAAGTTAGTTGGAACTAGTTGGAACTAGTTTTCGTCTCCCTTTTCTCCTTCTTCCTCTCTCTCTTGTCTCCTCCCCCGTGTGTTCTGTCGTCCTCTCTCCCTCCCTTTGTTCCCCATCCTCCCCATCCCCCCAAGCCTCTCTCTCCTCAATCTCCCTCTCTCTGTCTCTATCTCTCTCTGTCTGTCTCTTTCTCTCTCTCTCTCTCTCTCTCTCTGTTTCTCTGTCTCTTTCTGTCTCCCTGTCTCCTTCCTGTCCACGCCCCTCTACAGAAAAAAGGGTACCCTTGTTCTACGTAACCTCTCTACTGGAGGACCTAGTCTCTCTCTCTCTCTCTCTCTCTCTCTCTCTCTCTCTTTCTCGCTCTTTGTCTCTCTCTCTCTCTGTCTTTCTGTGTCTCTCTCTCTCTTTCTCTCTCTCTCTCTGTCTGTCTCTGTCTCTTTCTCTGTCTCTTTCTCTGACTCTGGCTCTGACTCTGTCTCTCTCTCTCTCTCTCTCTTTCTCTCTTTCTCCCTCTCTCTCGCTCTCTCCCGCTCTCGCCTGCATTGCAGCGTCACTTCCCCCCTGAGTTGCCTCGATGTGCGGACTGCCCCTTCATGACCCTGAACTGTTTGCTTACTACTGGCTGTCCCCTTGATTTCTCCTGCATGTCCTTTTCACGTTTCCCATGATGTCCTGGTCATGTCCCTTCCATTCCTTTCAACTCCCCCTTCATGTCCCTGTCATTTTCTCGGTATGTCCGCTTCATTTTCCATGTTCTTTCGTTGCCAGTCATTTCCCTACATCTCCCGTCGTGCCGATTGGTTTCCTTGTCCTTTGTTTCCCTTTCATTCCCCCTGCACTCCCCTTGTTTTCATTTCTGTCCCTTTCATGTCCCTTTCAGTTCCCCTTTGTTTCCGTTTCATTTCCCCTTGCTTTCCTGTCATGTTGACTTCCTATTTCCTCCTCTCATTTCCTTGCACTTCCTTGCATTTCCCCTTTGCTCCCCAGTATTTCCCACAACAAAACACGCTTCTTCCAGCGTTTTCACAAAGAGGACGGCAACAAACACAGAGTTTTTCCAGATTTTCGGCAAAAGGAGGCAGGAAACATATACCAGCAAAGAGCCGGCAGGGGGACTCGAGCCTGGGACCCCTGTTTTGCGACCCCGAAGAATACGTTTAAGAAATTACCGCGCGGTACGTGGGGGACCCCCCCCATCAGACGTCGGGCGGTCTTCGGTATCTGACACGCCTCCGCAATGTCAGCTGGCGCAGGATCAGTTGGGGGCACCAAACGAACACGAAGTTTAGCGTGGAAATTGAAACGCTCCCAAATGCTTAGAACGGGCCGAACCGCCCTCGCAAACAGAGCCACGTCCTGTTCGACAAGTTGCTTGGGAGCAATACACAAAGTTAGATAGTTTGGCTGACACCAACCCCATTCTAGATAGGCCCTCCGAAGTTCCAATTTGAGGGGGAAGAACTTCCGGGCTTCCGAAGCCATGATTCCAGAAATCGGCAGATTGACCATACCCCAAGCGGAGTCCTAGAAGAGCGACCATGTTTTATTTCTTCACATGTGTTAGGCACGTGTTGCCCTCCGAAACGGGGGAGGTTCGTATCAAATTCTGCAAAGCCGGGGCTTTTCACATTTGGGGTGTGGGGGATTGACTGGAAGCGTTGCTTCTCCGCAGCGAGTGGGTCAGTTGGTGCCAAAAAAAGGATTCTGGAAAGGCTTGGAAGACTTTGCGCAGGGAATCGGAAGAGAGACCTGTTGGCTGTGTGCCTCGGTGAACATGCTTGGCATGTCCAACATCCATCACTAGCCAGTTGAGCTAGAAAAACAACAGCCGTTTATCTCCCAACAGCTGGAGACCATGAGGTCCTTGCCCAGCTAGGCCTGGGGTAGTTTGGGGCAGCTTTAGGGATGGCTCCGGGCTGTTCACTTTAGCTTATTTTTCTGGAGGGTAGGGAACAGTCCGAACATGGGTGGGACATCCGCCCGCTGATTTGCCTACGCGGTATTGATTGCCGGGCCCAAAGGATACATTTAAGCCAGTTCAAGAATCACCCGGATACCAGCTAATTCAAAGAACAAGCCTTCTTTTTCAGGAGGTGTTTTAGGTCTCCTTCAAGCAGCCCTAATCCAATACCAGGATTTGATTCTGACTCTTGCCTAATCGCCTGAGGGATTCAGCATCTTCTACGGCTTCTTCTTTGACCCTGGCGCGCAGCCTTAAATGCCTTCGGGGGCATCGTCCTGAATAAAATTTGAGTAATTTGAATACTCGAGCACGGTATGCGAGACATGTGCAACAACCAGCTATCCGTTTGTTCGGATTCTGCAGGTGTGAATGGTTTGTTTCTTCTTTTTTTTGGTCCTTGCTCTCTCTCAGAAAAGGCAATTTGTGTTCGAGGTTGGGTGATTCAGCGGAAAGCGGATCACAAACTTTCGGCACGCACCTTGCGTGCCCCTGGCAATTTCATGCGAGCTTCTCCGGTAGCGTGATGCAAAAAGGGCGCCAGTGAGTGAGCAGACCTGGGAAGAAGAAACATGAGGGCCCCGTCGTGATAAGGTTCTCAGAAGCCTTTCAAGAAGCCCTTCCAGAACCCTTCCAAGAAGCCAGCCCTTCCAAGAAAATTTTAAGAACCAGGGTGCTTTGATGTATTCGCTAAGGACCAGCTTTTGACTTCCCCTCAAAACAAAGCAGGGTTTCAGTTGTGGCAACTTAAGCAACCAACCCTGATGTGAGGTGTAGATGACCTAATTCTAGTAGTGAGAAAGCTCTGGTGCCACAGTATCCACCCAGTCGGGCTTGATCGGCTTGCTGCCCGAATCTTGATTCGAGAGGCGATCGAGTTTGTTTGTGTATGGAACGAAGCTGGGACTCGCGTTTGTCCGTGCAGATACGGACGAGTTGTGCAAAGCCGGAGTTTGGCAAATGGAAGGACCCTGGGAGTGTGCATGGCTACTTGGATGACTCCAATCAGTGGCTAGCCTTGGTGGAGAAGTCCCCCGAGGACTTACCCGACAATCTATTTTGTTCAGTCACCAGAACAACGCAGCTCATCCGCCCTCCTTGGCCTGAGGTTCCAGCACCCTGGTGCCTGGTGAGGTGCTGATGTGCCGGAAACCTGGAGCTTTTCAACGCGACTGCCCGATGGATCCGAATCCCTGTGTCACCAGCGCGTGGGGTGCCCGAAACCCTGAGCTCACTTAGTTTGGCCTTCGCGAGCGAACCTCATGTGGGTTTTGGATGGGGGATCCCTTGCTTCAGTTTCTGGAGATGATAGTGGGTCAACATAGGCTTGTGGACCCCCAAAATGTGTGGTTTCCTGGTGGTTTCCCTTTTTAAGCCCAAAACATGGGTACCCTCCAACAAACACGCCCAACCACGGCACCCTCCTTTGAAAATCACTTGCCAAACCATGCCTACCCTTGTAAAACCAAGAACATGGTAATCACACCAATGGGTGTGGTGTGTCCTTTTGTTTAGATTTAGGCCCCCCCCAAACAAAAGAGAGAGAGAGAGAGAGAGAGGTGTTTGTCCTTGCGGCTTGTTTTCTCACCCCACAAAACTTGACTGCTATTGGGTTGGATCTTTAGACTTTAACTTGTTGGTTGAAATCAAGGTATTTTCCACTAACCCCCTCAAAAGTGAAACACTTTTTGCACGGGGGTCGTTGCAGCAAACAAGAAAAGCCCCCTCCCCGAAAAGAAAAAGGAGAGAGGTGGTCCTTGCGGTTTCCCTTTTAATCCCCAGCAAAAGGGGCGCCAACTCATCACCACCTCTCAAAATGACCCAACAATTGGCACGCGAGCGAGGCCTGCCGGGTCGGCGTGGGGAGTTTCTGGCGTGGCTGGAGGCGGGCGATGGGTTTTCGGGGAGGCGGGCGACGGCCCAAGGCGCTCAACGGGCAAAATGCAAAAAACTTCCGTTGGCTGAAACAATATATGTGGTTGTTTCATGTTGTCTTATGTTGTTATATATATATATATATAAAACATCATAATCATTATTTGCCCCTTGTTGGTTTTAGAACTGGAATCTGTCACTACTGGAAATATAAACAAGCGAATGGAAGCCCAAAGTAGGCCAGTGGACTTTTCATTTTTGCGCTGGAGGTTGGACCATTTTAGCCGTTGCAAGGCGTCTTGTTTCGGCCTACGGCACGTCAGCGGATCGACCTGCGACCTTCCGGTTCTTCAGCACCCTTGGACTTTTTGTTGATCTTCGCGGGGGGGGGGTTTCCCTTTGTTGGTCCATAAAAGAAGAGGGTTCACCTTTGATTTCTGGATCCTTTGGGCGCAAGTGAGTAATTCTAGGGGTTGATTCCTGTTCCATGCTTTTCAGCCATCGTTCTTTTGAAACACCAGCCATTTCCGCAGGTGTTTGGTGGGTTGCCAGAAAGAAAGATCCCTGGAAAGAATGGGGAAGTTACCCCTAGAAGTATGCCCGAAAAGGCTTACTTACCCCTTTTGGAACCCAGCTGTCGGGTCGAATCCCGGTCAACTGGCGGGTGCTTCGGCGGAAATCTTAAGGTACTCGCAGTGCTAGGACAGGTTTTTGCAGTGCTGATCGACGGGTTAATTTCAAGTCTTTCTCGGGTCTGGCCCAGATTATGTCTCCCGAAGTCTTATTTGACATTTAGCATTCCATTTCGTGTCTACAAGGCCAGCACCCAAACGGTTCTTTCTCGGGTCTGGCCCAGATTATATCTCCCGGAGTTTTATTTGACATTTAGCAGTCCATTTCGTGTCTACAAGGCCAGCACCCAAACGGTTCCCCATGTAATCCATGGGGATGCCATGCCACTCCAACCGGAACATGAGCACTATGGTGTTACAAATCCACCCTGGTTTGGGGTGTCTTGTTTTGGAGTGGGTACTTTCTGGATCGCCCATTTTGGGGGTTCCCCTTTGAGACAGCCCCATTTTCTGACCAGCTGAGACGGCGAGAAGAGCTTCCTAGCACGAAGAAAGCTTGCCATCCAAAAGCCGAGCTCCGAACCTACCCCGCATGCCCAAGGGGGCAATTGGCAGTGCAGTGCTGTGGCGTTAAACTCGTTAAGCGCATCCCCAAAAGGACTGACATCCTTAGAAGGGGATGTCCGGTGATGAATGGGAGTTCTGAAGGGAGGGCATTTGTTTTTCAGGCCAGGCCTACGCAAACCCTAAGCCCACCACAGGCCCAAAACCCACCCGGAACCGCTAAACCGGCCTAAGCCGCCAACCGGTGATGCTGTGAGGGTGTTGAACATGATGCCGGGGATGTTAAAGCCAGGGCTGGTGCAGCACGAGTACATGTTGCTCGATTGTGCAGGAAAGTAGTTGCACCGGGAGTAAAAGCACAAGAAGCTCAGAAAAACAAAGCAACAAGAAAATGAATGAAACCTTGACCCGTTCTCCATAACAATCAGGGCTTGTGTTTTTTCCTCGGCCATTAAAGTCTGCCACAATCAAATGGAATGCCCTATGGGAAAAGATCTAAGTGCATTGAAACATGAAACCTAGGGATCAACTATATATTTCAATGCCCAGCAGTTCGTTATAGGCCAATTTCCTATGTGCTGGTTTGAACCTGCCCTCAACGAGAAACCGCGGCGGCAAATGATAGAGAGAAGTGTCGGTGCCGTGGAGGCTGGATGCAAAGGCTCAAACGCTCCGATGCCATTTTTAGATACAAGGTGGGCAAAATCTTTGGTGCATTTTGCCAAGGGATGTTAGGACTGTAACTTTTGTTGCCAACTCATGGGGTTGTCCGTATTAAACCATTAAAAGTTAGTCACTTTGAGCAGGGGAGCAGAAAGCAACCGAGAAATGTGAAGCATCACTTGAACACCGTGTTATGTTTGTGTAGCATGGGGCCATGGGGGTGGGCCAAGTTCGTCTTGACTTGCAATGTCTGGCCCTTGTCAAGTCCCTATGAGTCGCCTAGTTACTCCCAAACAATTCCGGGTGTCGTTTTTCAGCAGACCCCCAAAAAATGGTTGTCAATTTGGAGTTGGCTCCTTTCTTTTGGCTTTTTCAGGGGGCCCCAAGTTTCGCCTTAAAGGGGTACCAACTCCAAAAACCCACGAGACCCGGCCACACCGAAGTCGCTTCCGCGCCGCGGTGTTCGACTCTCAGGTGCCATCACGAGAAGAGCGGAGGCTTGGAAGCAGAGGCGCTCTGAGTTCCCGCCCCCCCCTCTTTCCCTCCCTTCCTTATGTGTTTGCCTTTTTTTGGGGGGGGGCCTGGCGAGGGACCTTTGTAGTCATGAACTGTTGATTGGATGGTGCCTTTGCTCAAGGTGTCCCGAACGGGACACTTTTGTCAACTTTGGGCGGCCAGACAACCCCGGGGGGAAATGGATGACACTTTGCGTGGGAGTTGGGTTCAAAGTGTCAAGTACCATTTAGTCACCAATTCAACCTGTTTCGCAGAAGGTGGCCCTTTGTACGGGCTCTAGCAAAGGGATTCCATTCACCAAGGAGCAAAGGACAATCATATGCGAAGAGAATCTCAGAGCCCATTGCACCCAATATATGAAGCCCAGATCCCCGGTTATAACCCTTAGGGACCCTAATAGCTTATTTCAAAAGGACTATGTTTGAACCCCTGGGTAAAACCCAGGAATGTTCATCGTTACCAAGGCCTTAATTAAGGCCTGGTTGAGGCTTACCTTTGATTTCGCTGATTTCTGTCTCCAAAGGCCATTTTGTAAGGACCCCTGAAAATACAAAGAAATACATGATTTGATTGATTCCGAAGCTCCCATTTGTCATCGCAAGAGTCCCCCTCAAGGTTCAATTCCTGCAATGCGGATCGCCCCCGGTGGTTCTGCCCGCTGGGATTGATAATCAATCGCTGGAGCTGCTTCCAGTCAGAACGGGCACCTTCAGATGTTGCAAAAATGGCGAAGTCACAGTAACTTTTGAAGGGGCGCGCGGTCCTCAAACCACAAGCTGGGTTTATAGGGTTTTAAGCCACAGATAACCACCAGGCTGAGGTTCATAGGGGTTTTCGGCCACAGATTTTGGGGTTCATAGGGGATTTCGGCCACAGATGTTTGGGGTTTCATTCGGGCTTTCGGGCACAATTTGTGGCCAGTTTCCTGTATGAACCCCAGTTTTACAGCCCAGATTGACGCCGAAAACCTTGAAGACATTTGCCAAACGCCGAATCCCACCATGTGCCAGGCCAAACGCAGTTCCCCGCTAGCGCTATGATGTACACATGACTGAGTGGCCAGTTTTCCCTGACCGGATGCCAAACCGCCTCCATCGAGCCACACTTGCGTGGCAGTCAACGCTGTCAAAGGGCAAACCGGTTCGCTTGCCAAGTGCTTTCCACCGACCGCCAAATTTTAACCCATATTTAGCGCCCTTTTAATTTTGACCTATAACTATGAGACCAGGTCCTGGGGTTTATCCAGGGGTTCAAACATTGGACTCTTGATTATTGGCTAAATTGATTGTGGCTTGTTGGCCTTTCGCCAGTCACGAGTCAGGGGTCACACATTGTCATTGAGTCCATGCCTGGGTTTGATCTAGGAGCTCGGCCTCTTCAGACTTGTTTAAAAGCAAAGTTCGGGCACGCCCTCTTCGGAGTCAAACAAGCTCGACACCTGGACAAATGAGGAGTTTTCGTCAGAGTTTCATGGCAGTCTTTTGAACCTGTCGCCCCAATCCTGGCTTTGGCAAGACAAACATGGCCCACAGAGAATGTGGCAACAAATCCTGACTTCGACGTGAAATCGGAACAGAACCTCCCAGGCATTCCATTTGTGACAAAAAACACGTTCCGGCAGATCCTACCCTTCGCTGATCGATTCCAGCGCGAGTTTCTTTTCTTACGTGGGAAACCTGGTTTTGCATACCTGCTGACTTTCAAGAAACCAGTCCCCACTCAGAAACCCCAACCTTGCTTTTGACGGATTCCCCTTGGACCAAGCGTGGGGCCAACCGTGTCGCTCGAACCTCGATTTCCGGCCTTTCACCAGCTTTGCAGCTTCCAGCTTCCCACATGGGCGGTTGGGTGGTTTGGTGGTTTGGCTACAAAGGATTTCCCATTTGCCCTCCACAATAAAAATAGCTCAAATCAATCCAAGCCACCAATTGGGGGGAAGGTGATAGTTCAAGGAAGCTGCAAGGCGCCCTGCAACACCTGGCTTCTTGGACCGAGGGAGCGTGTGCGAGTCCACCTTGGAACGCGCGTTTTAGAACGCGCGTTCCAACCACCCCGGCCCTTTTTGCGGGCGCTTGACGCCATTTGCTTTTTGTTTTTGTTTTAAAGGTTTTATCGATGTATTTATTTACCCTTGTTGGTTTAAAAGAAGGAATTCATCACTACCGGAAATACGTGTTTTCTTTTTTCCAGGGGCCTTAACCAAAGCTTGGCTTCCTGAAGTGAGGGCAGCCCAGCAATGAATTAGTAAAATCTAGCGAACTTAGCGTAGGTGTTGTGTTTTGTTCTCCTCAGGGCCCCACATCAGTCGTCGCTTGTTTGGGGGGGGTCGATCGCAGTTTATCTTGAACGTGGAAGGATGAACTCAGGGTAGTGTTCAACTAAAGGCGAAATCCTGGCTTGTTTGGGGAAACACCTTCCATAAACCCAAGGAGATTGGTGATATTGGTCGACATGGCTCAAGATGGGCAAGCCTTCCCGTGACTGAACCTTAGGCGCACATGGCACCTCTGGTGACCGTGTGCCGCCTTTCATTCTTTTCGAGCTTCCTGAGTGTGGCCTCGATCCAAGTCGTCGATGTCGGTGCTCCAAGAACCGGCACTCAGAGTATGCACATGGCCATGCAAATCCTGGGCTACAAGGCTTTGCACACCGGGTATCGCTGGGATGTTCCTTGGTTGTTCTTTGGCACCACCTTGTCCCCTTTTGGGCAATGACCTTTCCCCAGTAACTTTCAGCAATGCGTAATATACAGGGCCAAGCATTTTACTCCTGTGATCATGGCTTATTTTGGTTTGAGAGTACCCCATTCTATTTGTTTCGGTGGTAGTAACTTTGTGACTTTGACCAACCCAGCTTCGCATTCCTTTGTGCGACTACCTTTTCAACAACGGCACCTTAGAGGCGGCTTTGGAATCACTGGATGGCTGGGATGCTGCCATGGACGAGCCCATGGCGCTCCTTTACGAAGAGATCATGAACCTTGGCTGGCGACTTTTCGCCTTGTCTTCGTTTTTGTTTTGCCATGATTTCAGCTTTCTGTTTGTTGGAAACGCCGCCTATTCGCTTCCTTGTCTTTCCTTCACTATTCTGCTGTTGTTTACAGATTTTGAATGAGGTTGTTCCGTTTCTGGAACAAGGTGCCGCACCCTGGTTCAATGCTGTTTCCAAGATGGTGTCCACCCCGGAGCCACTGCTATCAGGGGCTCTATGGGATATACAAACCACTATACAAATGCTAGGTCCCCCAGCTAGGTGCCATTCTCTACTTTTTTTTGGGAGGGTTCCCCTACTAAAATAGACTACAGAAAAAGTTGGTACCCTTATTCTAACCTCTCAAATCGGGACGGCCTAGAATGGTATACTCCATTTTCCCCCAGGCAGGGTAATGGTGACCCCAGATCAATGAGCCCGTGCTACTGTGGATGGACGAAATTGAAACCATGGGAAACCATCGGAAACCATTGTTTGTTGGTATTTACAGGGGAATCGAATCATTCCAGGGTTTCTTGGGTGGTGCGAAATGGATTTCGTCCATCCACACTATTAATATCTATTTAGACGCTGACGCGGTTTCAGCCGGCCACCGGGCACCTTTCCTTAGCTTCTCCTTTATTTGCTTTTCGATCCTTTCATCTCCCTTCATTTTCCCTCATTTCATCTCATGTCCCTAAGTTCCCTTCATGTGCATTCCGTTCCCTTAATTCCCTTCATTTCCCCGTAGTTCCATTTATTTTCCTTCATTTCCTTGCGGCTCCCTTCGATTCCCTTCAGTTTTCTTCCTTTCCGTAGATTTCCTTGCATTTCCCTTCAGTTCCCTTCAATTCGTTTCATGTTCCTGCATTTCCGCTCATTTCCCTTGATTTCCATGTGTTTCCCTTCATTTCCATTCATTTCCATTTGTTTCACTTCATTTCCCTTCGTTGCCCTTTATTTCCCGTGAGTGTCCCTTCATTTCACTTCACCTTCATTTCTGTTCCTGTCGCTACATTTCCCTTCATGTCCATTCATCTCCACTCATTTCCCTTCAGCTCTTTATTCCCTTGACTTCAGTTCCACTCATTTCCTTTCATTTCCATGCATCTCCCTTCAGTTCCCTTCAGTTTCCTGCATGTCCTTTCATCGCCTTCAGTTCCTTTCATTTCCCTTCAGTTCCCTGGATTTCCTTGATGTCCTTTCATTTCCCTCCAGTTCTTGTCATTTCCTTTCATTCCCTATTCCTTTGCATTTCCATTCCATTCCCCTCATTTCCCTTCATTTCTCCATTCCCTTGAGTGCCCTTCATTTCCATTTGGTTTCCGTTCCTTTTCCTTGATTTCCCTTGTTCCCGTCAGCTCCTTCATTTGATTTTCCATCCTTGCATTTCCATGCAGTTCCCTTCATTTCTCTTCATCTCCTGTCATATCCCTTCATCCCTTCATGCAATCCTTCCTGAACCCATTCATTTAACATGCCCAGCACACCCTGCGTTGTTTGCATCTGTGTGGATGTTGTTTGGAATGCTGGGGATGCTGTCCAGCACCTGGCACCCCAAATTTATCCAACATGTCTCTAACATCGGACGCGCAAAACGTATGGTCGGCCCATGGTCAGCGCTAGGTCGCCTGATGGTCGACGGCCTGGGCTGAAGGTGGCTCCGGGCGAGGCCTTCGGCCCTCACAGCCCTTCAGAAGGGCTGCCGCCCAGTGCCGCCGACCCGTAACTTTCTGAGCGATACCTGGTAGTAATTGTCATCATTTGTGGCATTCTAGTTATCATCGCAGCATTTCCTGCGTCCCCAGCTGTGCCTTCATAACTATGACAGTTATCATCGTCCTCGTCCATCCTTGCTATGCCTTGAGAACTATCATCGCAGCATCATTGTCATCATCCGTGCCAACACAATTATCATCGTAGCATCGCCTGCATCCCCAGTTGTGCCTTGGCAGCTGTCATCGTAGCATCCCTTTCACTTCAATCGGGGCCCAATGTCCCGATTGAGATATATACTTATAATAGAACAATAGAAGAACAATAATACATATTGTTATAACACCAGAATAAAGAAAATCATAATAGCAGTTTTGCAGTCTCATGCAAGTCGAGTCTCACTTTTCCGCAAGTGCCCAAGGATCAACCTATTTAATTTATCACGCCGGACCTAGTTGAGTCGTGTGTGAGCGCTACAAAAGCATTTGTTTATTATTGTTTCATGTCGGCCAATGTTGAGTCTTGCGCAAGCGTCCCCAGCCTGATCTGACCACCCTTCCCGCTCCTCGCCCTTGCAGACAAGGGGTCGGCGGATAGGGGGGGTGTTCCCTCCAAAAGTGATGAAATGGAAACCCTCGTATTTATCGACCAGAGGGCTATTAATCCGGGGTGCCCATTATTCTATCGATCCCATAGTGGCCATTAGCTACAGGGAACCATTTCCGTTTGCCCTTCGGCGCCCAGGGAGAACTTCCCTGAGTCCAAGTTCATTCTCACCATTTCAGACCCGGACAGCTGGCACGACAGCTACGCGTCCGATGCCGGTTTTTGGGGCGCGTCTTTTTTTTGGATTTGGCCCCCTTTAAATGGCTGTTGGTGTTCCTTTTGGTGTCCCTTCGAGAATCTGCAGACAAGGGGTACCCTCAAAAAGATGCAGACATTTGGGATCTTTTTCCGTCAGCTTGAATGGGGGAGTCGTTCAACAAAGCATCCCCAAATTCATCACCCAAGACAACCCCAACAAACATCCGGCAAAGACGCATTCCAAAGACATCCTCAAAGTCAGCCTGAAGGACAGCGCCCAACACAAACTACGCAGACATTCCGCAAGAAAACCCAGACATCCCAGCACAAAACCCCCCAAGTCGGTAGCCACGAAGACAACCCCAAAGACACCCCTAACACACTTGCTAAAGGCATCCCCAAGTCCCTGAAGTCCCCACCTGCCACGAAGTCTGCGCTGCAATTGCCAGAGTCTTCCGGTTGCTACGAATCACGCACAACATATTAATATCCCCTTTCAAAGTATAGCGCCTGCCACGAAATCTTCACGCCAAGCTCCAAAGTGCTGCTCTTGCTGCTCTCGCCACGATATCTTCATGCCAAGCTCCAAAGTGCTGCTCTCGCCACGGAATCTTCACGCCAAGCTCCAAAGTGCTGC